ATTCCCCATTCCTGGTCTACATGATCTGCAACCATGCTCATGTAGGCAGTACCTGTCAAAGTAACATCCACGTGGATCCAAGGTTTCCCAGCAGAACAGGCCAGCTGTCACTCACGCATGCATCAGTGAGCCTTGGCCACCCATCACCCTGTCGCTGTTCCTTCCTTGGACCACTTTGATAGATACTGTCCCCCGATCCCTTCAGACCTCGGGTCCTTTACAGGAAGCCTGCGAGTTTGAGGGCTCTGCACAGTATCTAATATGTTCCTTGGAGTCTGTTTGTGTGCATGTGATATATTTTTCTATCGGCAGAACAAAATAAATGCTGTTGTTTATAAGTTTTGATTGGTTGGGTTGAGGTGACCATAGCTGGCAGTGACCTAATCTGTAGGCACTGTCACCTGTCTGTCTCTGTCCTGGTGCACAAAAACAGTAGGTGTGAATTTAGACCCAGGACATCCTTTGTACTAGTTAAAGTGCAACTATGTTTCCTCTAAAAACAGATTATCCTCAGCACCACATGTAACCATTTTGGAGTCCAAAGCTGAACTGCTTTCCTGAGTTACAAAACTCTTTCTTTATCAAAGTTGGAGGGACTAAAAACTGCAACTAATGTGTTAATGCGATGCATGCCAGTGTGTGAGGCTATCAGTAGCCTGTGTACTTATAACAACTGATGGCCTGTTTGTGGTCTCTCTGCAGGAAGCTTACTGTGAATACCTCCGGACCATCAACTACATATCACACGCACTTTTGGAGGAAGCTGTTTCACAGAGTAAGAGCTGAAGGAAATGTGTGACTGATGATGAAGGAGCATAATGGTATAAAGTCTCTGCTCAGTTTACCTGTTAGTGTGCGAACAGTCCAGTGCTTGTTAAAGCAGACACTGAACACGGAGCATGAACCAGTTTACAAGCAGAACTACTCCTGACCGTTTCCTCTGTTCCTTTAATACTTTACAAGAAGCAACCTCTGACAATACAGACGTACCGAAAGCTGCAGTTCCTGGAGCAGTGCTTCCTCGAGTGAGTCAGGCCACGACTTCAGAGCAGGAAAAAGCATTGCTCACTTCCTGATCCAAAAATCAGTGCTGTTTGTTATTATCAAAGAATTCCCGCAGTCCCGCACTTCAGAACTCTTTAAAATGTTTGTATAGCAGTGGACTCATAAGGCGCACAACATGTAAAAGTGGCAGCTCATTCAGAGTATGAAATGTAACTGTTTCTACGTCTTTGACGCTCAAAAATGGAACAAAAATGTTTCAGCATTTGTTATTCATGGATACATCCGAGCAGTTTCATCGCTGTGCGATAGTCCAGATTTAATAGGGGACTATAGGGCTACAGCCCAAAACTGTACAACATGAAAATGGCCAATAATTTAATCTTTTATATGGAGTCTGTTGGTTATCATATCCTGTGGTCGTCACAGTTACCAAAGCTCTACTCGGTTTAACATCTGTGGGTTTAAAGCTGATTGTTTTTATGAGGCAGATAGGCTCATGTGTTCATCATCTCAGGCTACGTCCACACGCACACGGGTGTTTT